GCATAAGGGAGGATCGGTAATATGTTAAGGGTAGAGACTCGCAGACTGAAAATGGACGGTCGAGGGTGGCCGAGGTAAGAGAAGCTTTCGATGCCGGACGGAAGGTCCGACAACGGTGGTGGCTTTAGTGGCTGTTCCCCTTCATCCCTCGCGATTATTCAACGACTTACAGCTGCTTGCATTCGAGCACTGGCTTGTCCACGCGACGTTGGAAAAATAACCCGTTAACGGTATCAGAGGAAAAGAAGCGTCAAACTCGTTCGATACGATCCGCTAGATTTCTCAGATTCGAGCAAACGGGAATCTCCGCTTCTAGGGAAATAAGATTCGCGTCGAACGAAGGGTGTTAAATGAAAATAAAAAACGACGAAACCTTTTCACGTTAGACGGAAAGAAGGAAAAGGTACAATCTGTAATTCCCGAGTTGCATGGCGCACGGAAATTAATCCTGTAATGTAAGTCGAGCTTAGCTGGAATTAAGTTCAACGGAGAATCGTCGGGAACAACGTGGAGACAGTGACGTAAAGCTTCTAGGCGCACGATAAATTGGATCGTTCCCCCTTGGAGACTTTACTTTAGCGCGAACCAAGTTTTTTTTTTCTCTCTTCTCCCTCCTTGGCTTTTTAGCCCCCTCGAACTCTCGAACCGTGCCTGGGAAAATCTACGGCCCTGGGAATCGTCCCGTCACTTTGCTCTACGAACGCTAACGACGATCTTACCTAGCTGCTTGTTTCACGTGAAAAGCAACGGGAATTGTAAATAGTACCCTGCTAGAATCCGAATGGAACGTTTCCATTCTTCGGAAGTGGAGTTCAACTTGAAAATGTTCAATTCGATTTAATTTAATAATTACGAATGGGAAGATTCTCTATATGGTGCATACTTCAATCAGTGCATCAAATTGATAGCTTCCCTCACGTTATAATTTAACGTAATTACGATACGCTGAAACAGACAATCTAGAGGGAAAATTACAAAGATTCAACGCGAAATAGCGGGTAGAAAGTAGCCAGGAAGGGCGTATGGAAGCACGCGGTGAACCAATCAGAAACTAAGACACCGGTGTCACCGCATGTATTATTCATGGGTTCCACAGCAACGCTCTAACCAGATGCTAGTGAAAATTTAAGACGATTCGTGGAAATAAACTTTCGACTCGATCCATCGTCGAACATAAAATTCGTAGCAAGTTCAACCAAGAATTTCATGTTCGAGATGTACCAATTGAAAGTACAGTAACAGGAACAGATATTCGTGACATAGAATTTAGGCGATCAAGGTGCACCATAAGGGAGGAAACGCGAGAGGACGAAACGAGACTCTGGCAATGGGTTGAAAGAAGACGGGAAAGGAAATAAGAGAGAGAAAGGATCGTGTCTGGCACGAAACGTATGGAGCTCGCCGTGAAACACTCCATTGAATGGCGTTTTGGTACTCAGCTGGGGGTGGGTGGAAGGTTGTTAGGGTACGGGACAAGCGTGTGCAAGTTATACGATTCAACATTCGGTGCACAGCTCGCCGAGGTTTGCAACCACCTCCGGAAGGTCGACCAAGGGAGGTCTGCGTCTGACAGGAATAAGAGAGACGTCAAACTCAGTGGTTCTCAATTCCAACAGCTAATAATGTATTTATCTTTTTCATTTCATTTCCCCTTTAACAAATACTTCAAAGAAGTCCGGAGGAAGACAGAATTCTTTCGCCTCGTCACTGTTTCCTCGGTTATCATTCGTGATCAATCAATTTGCTTACGTCGCCTGCTTCGTCAGCGAAAGAACAGCTGTTCACGAGAAGGTTATTTCTCAGTACGTTTTCGCAACACGCGACGAAATACTTCTGTTTCTGCTAAGTGTCCCTATCGAATTGCAATTTGGTTTCGCCTCGCGACTCTTTTTCAGCTCGTTCGAGAGATGCAGTCGAGCCTGCAACTAGCACGTATGTATTTTCTTGCGAAGGTCGTGCCGATACCCCGTTTATGTGTATGCGTATTGAAACGCACACAGTGTTCGAGAATAATAATATACACATAGGACAGGGCTTACATAAGATCACGGTCTCGTTGCTCGCGAAACGCTTCCCGCAGCGGATGAGAAGATGTAACGTACGCGACGAAGCACCTCCGGACGTGGCGAGAGTCACTCTGATTCTCAATTGTCCGTTAATCCATGTCAATTATCACTGACCTGTTTATCGTGATTTCGTAACGCTTATAGCCTGCCGCTTGTATACGCAAGAACGTGTCAACTGGGTCGGAATAACCTTGCGAAGGAACGTTATCGAAGCGGCGCAACGCAACTGAATTAAATGACCAGCAAATATACATAATTCCCCGATCGTACGTGTACGCGATTCAAAGTAGGAAACAGAGCTTACACGTAATCGAGAAGAATAAAAATCGTATCTATCGTTCTTTATGCAAATGTTCCATCTACACGAAACTGAGATCGTTTGGTAAAGTGTGATCAGAGGACCAGACGTTTATTCAAACCTTTATCAAGTTAGTGAATGAGTCATCCTATTCGCGTTTAGTCTTTAAAGAGCTTGCTAAACTCCAAAATTAATTTAACCCTTGATCCCGTCGTTTTGAACCCACCAATGTACACGTGAACTTCCTTAATAATTGGACCTCCAATGGTTAACGCGCTGATATATCACTAGATTTATGACATTTTGCATATGACATTTTTTGTTCAAAGTAACTTACCGAACAAGTGAACAAAGTTTCTTGAACAACTTTCGTTCGGTATACAACCGTTGCTTGCGCGTTTAACGCGGGAACATAAACTATGCTTAGGACGCCTCGGTGAGGGAAAATTTCGCCGCCAAATTGTTTTGGCCTGTGCCGTTTCGCAAACTCTGTTCCATGGAAAAGCTCCGGTTGAGCCTTCGGTGTCCTGGTTGACTTAGGACCGACGAAGCAGCTCGGACGCGTGAAAATCGGCTGCCAATGTAAACTACACGCTTACAACGCTCGATAAAGCTGACTAACAGGCCGCTGATTTGGCGAGGGTAAACAAACGTCGACCGTTCTGGATTTTAATCAGATTCACCTGTTTACGAGAGGAAAGTTTATGTAGAAATATCGATCATCTGCTATCATGAATCTCCGTATGAAAATTTCTAAGAAAACGTCAGAAATTGAACGCTAAACGGAAGCTGAAGTACTCCTCGTCTAATATCATCATTTTCTACGCTGCGGAGTAAAATTTTATCGAAAGTTAGATTAAATTGTACGCGGTGTAAAAGTCGGCGAGTGCAGTGGGAACAACTGCAGCCACGTTATTTACGCGGCACGGTTGCTCCCTTAGTCCTTCGTTTCTTCGTGCTTTATCAAACGGTCTCAGGGCCTCTCGGAGTTATTCCACGTTTCCTTATCGTACGAAACGTTCGAGAAATCAAGGAGAAAAATGCTACTATATTTTTCAACGGTAATTCCCTAACATCTTTTAAATTTTGCAATGTTCTCGGTACCCTCGTCTATCTCCACTTTTTCCCGCCTTTTTTTCTTTTCACTCGAAAGCGAATATTTTCTGAGTACTTTCTACTCTGGTTACCAATAAAATTATTATGACTAATAACAGATCACTGATCATCAATAATAATAAACGTTAATAATTCCCCCCTTTTTCGATGTTTATTCCGCGATATTTGTTTAAAAATACGTGGGAACGAGGACGATTCGACGGGATGAAAGAAACGAAACGGTGAATGTTTCTTTTTCACAACGTCCTACGCTAGAATGCTTTGAAACGGGACGCGAAAGAGTCGTAGGCGATGACCACAAAGCCACCGACCGCGTTCTGATGCTCAGAAAATCGTCTAAAATAGAATAGCTGGCGAGAAGTGACACGAAATTCGTGACACTGTTCTCTAGAACAACAGTTGACTCACCGAGTCTAGGTTGAACAGGCTCGAGACCTTCTTCAGGAACCCGTCCTGCGACTTCTTCTTCCTCCTGGTGGTCATCCTCCTCTCCTTGGATCGATCGCTTCTCGATGTAAATTAATCCAATTAATCCGCACGCTCAGATGCAACCGAGCCACATACTTTTCTCACGGAACTCGCGAAGCCACACTTCACCGAAACTAACAAAGACGCGTTTTCCTTTTTGAAATAAATCTTTCACGCGAATTAAGACGGTTCGCGTGGAAGGAATCGTGGCGGAATAAAATGATCTAATTTACAAATTTTCATTGAAAAATCGTTCGATGATATAAAACGAAGTTTATTATTTGAGATAAACTGGGCGCCGACAGTGCGCTGCCTTTTCTACCGCAAAGCTTTTGCACGAGAGTTTAATGCACTGTTGCAACGTGAATGTACCTCGGCCGCTTGAACTCAATCTAACGAGGAAACACGAGACCCATTGCATAGACCGGTAATTTTATATGCGTCAAATACACGATAGATTTCTGAGCTGTGATTACGGTGACACCGAGTCCGTATTATACACCGCCGGCGGCCTATTTCTTGCGGGGGCCCGTGCCACGCGTTTATATCTCACGCAAGTGCAACCTAATTGATAAAAAAACCAGGGACATCGGCCTGTCCTACTTAGGTCGGTTAACCCGAATCGCTTGGCAAATAACGTAGGAAATTATTCCTCTTTACTCGTCGTCACGTGCTGTCGCTCGACATTATGTAATACGTAATCGGTAATGTCGATCGATCGTCGTCTATGGAGAATTTAAAATCCTTTAAAATAGAATTGTTTTACGAATTTGAATAGCAAACACTAGTTAAACCGTTCGATTCTGGTCGTTCGTGAAAGAAAAGGATGATAAAAACGTGTTTTTTTTCTAGCTCGACGATCACGCTATCGGGTATTATGCACGGAAAAGCAAAGTACGAGCAAAGGTTAGTAGATGTTCCGTAAAGAGAATGCACTCTCCGGTTCGACCGGTGAACTGCACGCCCTGGGCGATCGATCAGTGAAAGTATGGAACCTCCAAGTGGCACACGAGCCTCGTCCAGCTTGATTATCTGTCGATACACTACGAACGCCGTATGTTTTCTTTTCACGAACGACAAGTCAAAACTGATTCCACCGCTCCCACGAAAACTGTACACAAGCTTCTCCTCTTACGTAGCCGAGCACACTGAACGTGTTTGTATATACGTGCGCATGTATACTATAAGGCTACGTTCATATCTTAAACAGGTTGTCGGTTCGTCTCGCTCTAGTGCCCGCGAAGCGTACTCCTGTGCAGCGTACCACGACGAATGACGACGCGGATAAGGAAATTCACAATTGTGAGTATACTTCGATTTCCACGTGGGACATAACCCTTCACGCGCATACGCGATAATCTCTGTTACTGTTTTACCGATACGATCGAAACGTTCGATTTACCCGCGGGGAATGAATCGATTCTTTGAAAGTGATAGATTATAAAAGATCAAGTATGGTTCTACGAATAAATATACTGTTATATCTTGTCCTTCGAACGTACCGCCTGCGCGCTTAATGACAAGAAACGTTACGTAGACTTTCTAGTAATTCGTATACCGTTATATGCTTGAAAAGGCTCGAGGGTACCTTACTTCCCAAATGCCACGTGTTCCTTCCACGCTGCCCGCCAAAAAATAATAGATAACGAAATCACCGTTTCAACAGGGTGAAACGTCACTTTACCTCGGATAGAAGATCACTGTTTCACAGGCTGGCACATTTAGATGATAACGTAACGGAGCATATGTCTACCACTGGTAGCGGCACTTCACTCTTATTCGGGGTTGCTCGAAAATCACCGTGTATCAAGATGCTCCGACGTACACGATTCTCGCATTCCATGAGAGACACCGACGCCACTCACACAGCTATAAAACAGGTTGCTCCTCTCTTGTCCGTCTCTCGGGTCGGGAACGAATTTCTACCGCCAATCGGGCCACGATATATTTTCTCCGTGCCAACACGTACGGGGAAAGAAACAAAGGACGTACGCGAACGCGAATGTCAATATGTACACGACAGTTTCTCGCTCGTATAAACAGATTGCACTTCTCTTCGTATCCACCACTTCTTTTCTTCTGTTTACCGTCTCATCGACCCTTCCACCGTTTTCACTCGTAGCTACGTGTTCGTGTCGAAACGGAACACCCGGTGGCGCGAACCACCATAGAGGTTAGAAACTACACTCGAAGAAAGTTTTTCGTCGGCCCGTTGTCAAACGTCGAACACCAGACGTTGTGGCGTTTCCCGGACGAGTTAGTTTCCGTGATACTTCGTGCAGGTTCGCATGACACGGTTACACGACTATGCTATAACGCTGATTAAAATCAGCGACGCACCGGTTGGGAGGTTAGGTCGCCACGGACGCCTCCTCCTCCGCCTCTCGGCCGCTTTCTCTCTCGCTCTTCGATCCACGATTGCACTCACAGAAGGAACGCGTGGCGTCGAAACAACGAAACGTTTTTCCCGCCACGTGGTGCACACACGTATCCCACGAATACCGATTAAACACTGCCGGCCGGAGATCGAACGAGCCACCGAAAATAATACGAGCGGACACGCAAAGAGGTGAAACGTCAAGAGCTCTCGTACGCTTTACGGAGCTGGCCGTGGACGGGCCTCTTGCTTGCTGACGTCATCGCTCGGCCGCCGGCATGAACTTCGCTGCACGCACGGAGAGTGCCGAGCCGAACTTGGCCGGATCTGCACGAACCTGCACGATCGTCCTCGCCTGAACTGTTCTGGGCGTTATCCAAAGAAATTTTTATTCCGATTATTATTTCATCTGTGTAAAACAGAGTTTTTTATTATTAATGTTCTTTTTTTCAATTCAAAATCTACAATTACGTAAAATTCATGAAACTCGGACAATGAAATTGTAAAATTCTTCAAGCGCTGCTTTCTGGTTCCGCTTGAGCAAATCGGAACACTACCTTGCTCAAAATTTAAACTACCTGTCATCTATGTATTAATTATTCGATGTAATTCAATTATAAAATAAAATTCTATGTTTCTCAATTTCAATAATAAATTTTTTAAATAACTGAAATGAATTCGATCCTTTTCCCCGTAACGTTATGCAGATTCTTGTTCCTGCAAGAGGTTGTGACCCCATCAGTTTTTTTTATTCATTATTTCAAGTAAAAAATGACCAACTTTGTACGAAAGTACTCGCATTCTCTGCCGCATGCCTCTTATTTTTCCTCTCGTTCTCTCCTGTATTTCCTTCTCTTCTGCCTGGTACGTACTAACCGTACAAAAGACGTTCGTTCCTCCGGCGACGTGGTTTCGTGCCAGGCCGATCGTGCGAGGTCGTGCCGCTGATTCGTGCTCGAGGGAAGTTGAGGTAGATACGAAGATACCGCTTCGGGCATAGTCGTAACGATACTGGGTTTACACGAATTTCGAAAGAACTACCTGTCTACTACTTTTCTTTTGATATGGTCTTTCCTATCACGGATTAACTCTTGTACAGGCAACTGGGTACACACCGAAACATTAATATCAACAAACCTTTAGTTTGTAAGCGTAAATCGATGTAAACATGTACAATCGCGTGCAGATTAGGGTTAAAAGGCAATATAGTAACATATTATTTATGTCACTATAAAAAGTTCGATGTCTCCCTAGGATTTTTCACGGTTCCCGCATCGTACACGCAATAATTGAAGCCACTATTTTTAGCATGTGAAAATAAATAAAACATTGCAAAATAGAGTTTCTATTCAAGGTTCCAGAGTAATCAAGATTCAACGGCCGAAGGTGTTGCAACACGGTAGAGAAACCGATGCCTCGATTCGGTAGCAAGAATGCAGGTATATTCGTCTGCATTCGTGGAAATTCTCCTTTCCCTTTCAACCTGTTCCGTAATTGGTGAAAAATGTCTATTATCGCTACGTTACACTAACACTGCACCCAACGATGGAATGAAACAGGGGGGAAACCTCGTTTAAACCTAATCTCTCGAAAGTCATGAAGTTTCTTTGCCGACCTCATCCCTGTTTATAAGTTAAATTATTTCCAGGCAATTTTTGCGAATTAATAGTAGCTTTATGCAAACTTTATTATTTTTATACATCCCACCGACTGTTTATGAAAACGTCGGAAGTCTCCTGTTTTTCAAGCAACCGCTTGAACTGCTTCTGATTGCTGTCGGAAAATAAATACACTTATAGCTGAAAGCGGTCAGCGCATTCATACAGAGCTTTTTTCATTTTTTGTTTTCCTTCCAACGGTTCGAGCTGCATGACCTGGAAACTTAAACGAAATCTTTAGAATTTCTGGGGAGGCAATTCCGCGCTACGGTGGTGTGTTTCGCGTGTTGTCATATGCAACCGTGCCACCGAGTCGCCGAACAATGGCAACGTTTAATGCTGTCTGGCTGGCTGCAATTTGCATTTCTCTAACGGGCTTCTCTTTGCTTTGCCGAACGAGCATCGCCAAAATCGCGTCGATGCATCGAAGCCCACCCTAACGTTTCCGTAACGCTCCTTTGTGCGACCCTTTGAGTCGATTCCCAAGCAAATTTCCCTCTGGCCAAACCGGAAATTGCATGCAAGTGGCTCGAACTTACATCCTGTAAACTGGCCGACCGAAAATTGATTGGTCAATCGTCAGGGCTGCCGTAGCTACTTTTCTATCGAACGATCGTGAAACTTCCTACGATCCGATCCGTCGAATTTCACGGAAGACAAATACGATCCATTGAATTAGATGGAAGACAAATCTGATCCTGAATAATTGAATATACCATTCACTTAAGACATAGAATCAGAGAAGTATTGACATACTAACTGATAAATGAATTTATTGAAATGAACACAGAGATTGAAACTGTAAGAGACATCTATGTATTGCAGTGGTTGTACAGTAAACTCTGTCGATAAGCTTGTTTAAAATCTCACAATCAGAATAAAAAGGGTACAACATGTAGATTAATACGAATTAGTAAATAATTTACCATCAAAAGCGTTACCTATAGAAGAACGGAAAAAAAGGGCTAAGGAACGTGTGAACAAAAAAAAAAAACAATACTAACGCAAAAACAATTGGTCTTGTGGTTTATTGCGTCGAACATAATGGGATCCAAGCTGAATGCCATAGGGGATGCTGGTGCTTAATTAGTGCGTGTCAGGAACCGAATGTCACGAGTTGTTCCATTTTCTTTGTCGGATTTTTTTCAGAATTCGTTTGCCCGCGGTTGAGATCTCAGCAGCCTCAGCAACCTTCCGTACGACCCTGGTAATGAGAGACAAAAAAAAAAAAAAACAGAAGAGGACAGGAAGTTAGCTACCGAACACCCTAAGGCTTATGGTAATCTCTCATAACTGGAGTGGCTCATTTGCGGCGAAAGTCACGAATGCTCATCGAGGAGAAAGAGAAAGACTGAACAAAAAAAAAAGGGATAAGTGGAGAGCAATGCGAGTAGGAGAGAAAACGAGAACGAAAAATGAAGGTGGAAAAAAGGAGGGCGGGTTTATGTAATTGGCATTAAGCCCTTCCCCGGAGTTAGTCATGGCAATACACAGCGTGTAAAAAGGGATTTCGGTTTTTTAATACCCTGAAAATGAATAAAGCACCCCGCTGGAATAATAAAGTCTAGTGTATTTACAGAGAAAGCTGAAAAGTGGATGTATAGCCCAACTTCACCGGGTTATTTCATATAATATCTAAAACGTATAAATTTCCCTTTCATTAAACACCAATTATTAGACGTTTAATCTTGAAAATGTTTAAACACCAGAGAATTTAACGCCTGACAGACTGCAAACCCATTGCACCAGCGAATGAAAGTTTCAGCGATCACTGAGCAAACATCTCATTTCACTGAAACATTTAACAGTTAATGCGCTTTCGAAATTCTATCCTAATATTTTGAATATTCTTCCAGAGACCATTTTGCAGAGGATTCATTAACAAGCAAGCTTGTACATCAGTGGTAAAGGTGTGTGTAGAACGATTTCATCCAGATCCGACGATGGTAGACGCGGAAATTCGATCTGCATCGGCATTCGACGATTCCCGTGGGAGTGCACGTTCGCAAATCGCGACGAGATTTTGTTCAGAGTCAGTATTTTATCGGCACCGTACCTTCGACAGACTCCTTTTTCCATCGGACAAGGGAATTATTAGGTAAGATTTCCCGAAAGGGTTTCGTGAAAGCAGGAAAAGCTACAATAGGGAAATGCCTGTACAATACAACAAACTTATTTGCATTATTCCGTGTAGAATAAAATAACTTGAAATTTTTGTACGGAAGAAAATTTGTCGTAGTATCAAAACTTGCGTCAAAAGAAAATTAAAACCATAAACGCTCGTCTGAAGGATTTAGCTTAAGAGAGTTTTCACGAGACAGGAAAGAATCTCGGCACGAAATTGTTCGCCGCGAACAAAAGAGGAGAAGGAGTGATCTACTTTGTATCGCTACAAAGAGAATAAAGCCGGCTGAAGGATGGCGTAGTGGGTGACGTATTGTGGATATTCGAAACAAGAAGATGGAAGATGAAACAGATCCTCTTTAGAGAAGACACTATTGAAAAACTGGTATAGTTCGTTCGAGTGCCTATGGCAAGAACCATCGACTGAAACTCGATTCTTCGAGATGCTCTTCAACGATACGAAGATCACGAATATTGAAATTCACCGAGCATCAGCGCTGTGAATATAAATTTTTATTGAATCTATTTTAAAATCCTATGAAACAGAATCCTAAGAAATTAAAAATATTAGAGCCCTTCGTTTGAATTGTTATTCAAAAGGAAAAATATTTAAATTCTTATTAAATTTTACTTGTTCTCTTCAAATTTCGCAAACCTCTTCGTCAAGATAAACGTCAAAGAACCGGTACAAAAATACTCGAGTAGTTGAACTTCTTGATAAAGAGTTCTACGGACGACCGAGTCTACTCTGGTATCAAGCTTTAATGAATCTTTTTAAATTCACGACGTGCGTTTCCTAACCACTTGGTCTCGTAGTTTTCTTCAGGTTCGCTCTTCTTGTTCCTTACCCATACCGCTGTTCTACTACCGTAGACCAAGACGGTATTGGCATATCAGCAAGAGGCATAGCCCCGAGGCGAGAGTAAACCCGATTAGACGGTACACTAAATCTCATTCAACCAGCTTTCATTGTTAAGTGCTCCCGACGTCTTTCGTTTCTCGTAAAAAGCATTCCACAGGCGCGCTCAATTGCAATGCAACGCCACGTCTCGCGGAAATCTTTTGTTTTTTCTCCTTGTTTAAGAAATTTCCGTGGTTTTCCTTTTACAGCGAAATAAACGAATAAGTTGAAATTATTTTAATAGGTATTCTTATTTAATTTGCGATTCTCGATAGAAATTCCAATGGGAATCGATATATTACATCAAAGGCTGCGATCGCAAAGTTCTACCTTCGAGTCAGAGACGTTAACATAAATGTTGCAACGAGTTAGTGAACTTGGCAATGAACGCGTTTCACAACGGAAAAGATGGATGTAAATAGGCGGCGAATCCGATTGGCAAGAGAGTGCATCGATTAATGCCTAAGAGGCACTCTCTACACGAGAGATATTCCGTGGACTGGTAAATATTTTCACAGGCGTTTGCTGTAGCGCCGACTAATCGCTGGTAGTTAACGAGGAACGTTGCAACCCTGATGCACACAGGTCGCTGCAACGAACCCGTCATTAAACCGCAACGCCCTTAATAACGAAGAGGTGAAGTACACGTTGGAACCGCGTAACCAGATGGTAAGAACTCGAATCGTATGCATCACTGTCATGCAAATTGCTTTCGCCTCCCCTCGTACTCTCTTTCACCGTTACCGCGTTCCTCTTGCTTGATCGTTTCTATGTAACTCCTGCCAATACTCCCGGGAACACATATGTACGTAGACATACGTAAGTTCGAGTACGATTTCCTCACTCGAGAATAGATTTTCAGATTGCCTGAATTCGTTTCTCATTCATCACGATCGATAGTTTGTAAGGGTTAAATAATCACCAATCATGCTATTAACGAAACACTTCTGTGTTAACACTTTATAAATCAAAGTTCAAATTAATCAGACGCTAAAATGCATGCATTACTTTCGACGAATATTTGCTAAAAATGTTGTTAAATTGTGTACATAAATAAAGTAAAATAAGGTAATAAGACACAGTATGGTAATTAAAGCGCGTGTGACGTGTAGAAAAGAGGAAAGAGCAAAGCAGTATCATGCTTGTACTTAGAACAAAAGCAAAGCAATGTTAATAATCGTAAGCCATGAATGCTTACCTGGTCCCCGTCGTGCCCTTGCCAGCTGTCGTGACTCTGCAACAAAAATAATGATACCAGGTTAAAGTGGAAGTATAAATTACTGAAAAATACGTTGGTTCAGGTAAAGTTTTCAACGCCTTTCTTTTCCTTAGGAGAGCAATATCATTTCGCGTCTTTATTACAGCAACGACAAGCAGCAGTATCGGTTGATACGTTGCTGACCAACGTGTATGCGATTTCTGGCAGAATTTTACAGTGTACCGATGCCAAATGTGCCGGAACCTATTTTATTTGCGGTAGGACAAAGAGCTGGCGCCGAATCCACCTGTGAACCGACCACATCGTCATCCAATTTTCCACTCTACTATCCCGACCCTGCAGTACCGAGATTTATATCCCGAAATTTGCTCTACGCTCATTCCCGTCACTGCATCAACGGATGATCGAGAGAAAGCAGACCAACCGAGAGATATCAAAATATCCAAATTTACAGGACCCATTGATTCCGGAAAATATACACCGATAGGATCACATTCACCGTAAAATTAGTGATTTTCAAATTGCAATTTTACGCGGATATAACTTAATGGATGACAAGATCCATCGTGTCACTGCAAGCAGTTCGTGTTACCTTTTCTTTTCAAATAAACTTCGTTACAGTTCATTAAATGGGTGTAAATAATATCGCGGACTGTATAGGTAGCTATTTTATCGGACCCTGAGGTCGACCAACGTCGGAAGTATAGACGGCGGTTGCTGGGTTAATGTTCAACCTCCTCGTTAGATTTATGGCGGCAATATATGGAGCATTGCGCCCGTGCGTGGCTGCAAACTGATCGAAATGCAGCGTTCGTTCTGACACATATTCGATATTGTGCGCGAAATTTTCAAAAGTCTATGTCCTGATTTATTTTATCAAAGGTATTTTGCGTTTGATTAACCTTAATCGATTTCGATACCATTCGATACGGTATGAAAATTAACAAGTATCTCAGCTGGATCGCTAGCAATGGCAAAATGAATAGAGTAAATGTTGCGCGTCAAGCGGAGAAGTTAATTTTATTATACCATGGTCGTTAGGAGTTTACCTTGCTTATCTTACGAATTTGCATGAAGGAGGAAGAATAGAGGCTCGGTAAAGCGTGTAAGCTGGCGATAACGTATCGCATCCTAACGTGCAAGGTACAGTGAACACGATACAAATACGACGAGGAAATTATTCCCACGACGTGGGGGTCGATACCTCTCAACCAGTTAGTATCAAAATCCCATTACGAGACGGAAGCCATGCCTCGAGTAAATTCGATGGCTCAGTCAGGATAATACCGATATCAATTTCGCGTCGTCGAAGAAAAACAGACGTCGTATAAACTTGTCTGTGGCTTTTCCAGACGTCGCGTTTCAAGGGATTCGCAAATCTCACGGTTAAGAATACACGTTATGATCGCTAAATAATAAATCGTCATCTACTTTACTATTTCTTTCCTTTTTATCCCGTCGTTGAATACATTATAAACAGATTGAATAAATATTTCCAACTGTTAAAGACAAAAGCAGAACAGGGGGAGGATTGTTGTTCCAGTAGTTGGCTAAGCCAACAATGAAAGATTAAATCGTTTAATTAAGTTCAACACTGCGTAAAACTTTGGGTGAAAGAGCGAAGAACTAACAAACGAAGATTAAAACCGGACGGTGGTGGTATTGTTTTGCAGAAAGCGTAGGGAAGCAATGTTTAATGAAATATCGGTTTTCCATTTTGTTAACGCTCAGCCATATTTTCGTATAGATTCGCAAAAAACATTTTCAGTTTTCCTCTGTAATATTACGTTTCATATAAACAATCGGAAGTACCTTGGAATTTAAATGAAATTATCGTATTACATGGCGTTTGAATTTGCACGGTAAACTGGTAGACTGAGTTTAATTAATAAAATTTCATTGGCAAGTAAAGAGAAAGAAATAAGTGGCCTGTATTAATTAGATTTCGTCGGATATGTTTTTAATCACTGTTCTTTCAACGGACGGGTCTGCAAAGGCAATCCTTTCGAAACTTAATTGCAAAGTTGCGAGCCGAGCAAATTGGTACATTCGTAACTTTCGACAACCACGGGAATGATACCTAAACTAACAACTGAAAGAACTTTTCTCGTTTGCGATCAACTTTGTCTCCGCGGTGCTTTACTTTAATTGCAACGATCTTATTTACATTGTGCTTTGTCCTTTGCGCGCATCACCGGTCGTCCAATTTTGTCCTGTCCCTATTAAATCTCCTCTAATAAACAAACTTCTCGATAAATCAGAGAACTTCGACTGGATGCATAACGTGATTGGTAGGTATCCTTATTTTCCTCGAATAATAAAAATCATATAAGATGAGTTGGATTTTACTTTTCATCATCGAAGAAACGACTTCCTCTTCTCTCTTTATGGATCGTATAATGGTTTCAAGTGAAGCCAGTACACGGTAGGGAGCGTCATCGTTGGAAGATATAAAAAAAACCACTTCCCTCCTAACGACTTCCCTTTTTACATTTTATTAGCACCCTTCCTCCTTCGCGTCATTTGATTTTTTAACTTTTAACTCACATGCTTGCGTGCCTCGCATAAAAGGTGCAATTTTATACACGAGTTTTAATATATTATCGATAACTTTATTAACTTCTTATCAATTTTAACCCTGACATTTTAAGTAACATTGATATATTAATTTTGTAAGGTAACAACGCGGACCATATGGCGGAGAGAGAACATTTTTACAGCGATGAATTCAAATTCGACCAATATAAAGAGATTTTATAGTAGTGACATTACGTTACGTAGGAAGTCGTTTTCCGTTGGTGAAAAATCGTCGAGATTTATTGGTAATAAAAGGAGCTATGACAAGGAGCAGAGAACAGGATAGGAGCGCAGAGGGAAGGGCTGAAATTCACTAAGGGATGAGAACGGATATGCTTTACCCGAGGTAGCTAAACTTACGAGCCACTCTCTGCTAAGTTCTAAGACCACAATTTAACGGCTGAGGGAATTAGATCGTCGATGTCCGAGCTGCCAAGAGATAGGCTGTTAAATATCGTTGTTTCATTCGGATTAAAAATGCAATTATTTGCAAAAGTAAGCAACCTTCGAGCTTACATCAGAACATTAAACACATCCTTGAGTCGATCCGAGATCATTTCATCCTCTAAATGTACCATACGTAGGAGGGTCTCTTAACGCTCAAGAATCCAGCTTTATCCCGTAAAGTTAGTCTCGCACAGATGGGCCAAATATTCCCTTAGAAACTATGCGACCGCTGACACGTTCAAAGGAATGCGTCACTGGAATTTATAACGGATCTATTAAGCGCCATCGAAGATCCTTTTCGTTAAAGTCAAAACCTACAGAAATGGATATTTCAATCGAAGAGAAATGTCCAGGATATCATGCTCCATTATCTCGTTTATGGTCGACTGATCGTCGCAGGAAAGAAACAAAAGCGTTTACTCGTCAAAGAACCAAGGAACTTTGATCGTTCCCTCGTCCATTGAAATTTCTGCGACATCATCGAGTTGTACGCGTTCGTTTGTACGGAAATCAATGGCTTCGACAAAAAGGATGCTAATGAGCCGAAAGAGTTCTCTTCTCGGTTAAATTGCGAACCAATTAAAATTGTTTATCGTAGTTGCTAAGCGGCCAGGGTAATTCTGCCTTGTAAAAAGTGTATTTGAACTGTGACACGCGACTTGGGGCAGCCGTACCATTTTCGTTATGTCAATGGAATTTCAAGAGAAGTTGGCAAGCAACTCGGAGCTTAAACGTCGGCGATTATCTTGGAATTCACGAGATCTCGTAAATTCACTTTTACAAAGAGCAGTGAGAAAGTTTCATCTTGCTCGATGGTGTAGTGCAAGGAGAACGGTCAAGGAACGTTATCACCGCTTAATTATAAACACTCGACAATAATTAATACCGGCGACAGCCACGCCTAGTGCAAACACCCGAATTGTTCATCGAGGTCAGGAGGATCGTTACTCGCAGCCTCTGTTCCTCTAAATTATTAACTTATCTCGTTTCGAACGCTCTTCTTGCCACTTCACCATTCAATTATGTAAGTCGTTAGACGAGCCTGCTGCGGCGTTATAATTGGAATGCCGGAGAACAATCGACGATATCAATTTATCATGCAACAAGCACTGTTTCAATTTTATCCGACAATTATGTGGAACGCCTCTATCGAGGCAAGAAATTGAAACGAGACCTACCGATTTATCCAAACGAGTGAAAACAATGCGATGTTCATCTACGACACCAGAACGAAATCCTAAGGTAAGAGGTTTAATGAAATTGAATTAGAAAGCACTTTTCTATACGCGCTATATCCTTTTAACCTTGCTATTCGTTTCGATAAAAAAGCCATTCGGTGAACAGTCGAACGTCGGGTCAGAATAATGCTCGAGCCAATGAATTATACGACCATTTCCGATCGACCAGCAAAAATAATCTATCGCTGACTCGACGAAAATGGACCATCGTCGTTTTCGAACCGGCCGTGATGAATTTGCTGGATCCCTTCATGAGAATGTGTCTCGCGATTATATATCATGAATCGTGACAAAAAAATCACTCAACTAAAACGTTGTCAGTGTCATTTATCTATGGATAATAAAATCATCTATGCAAAAATATTCTACGAATAACATTTATTTCGCTTCGTTACCTGCATGACTATATAATATTATTGCCAAACTATTTCCATTTTGTTCTTTCACTTTTACGTTGTCCACAAAATGCGTGTGTCGTTCACTGTCTCTCGTTTCATTTTTTTTCATTTTCGATTTCGGAGTTGCACACAGAACGAAGCACGGTTGGAAAGCCCTATCTCATACAATTTTACGACTTGGCCTGTGCAATGAACGCGTTCTGTTGTTGCAACCAGAACAAACGCAACAAAAAGAAAAAAATACCTCGGTAGAGGAATAAAGGAAAAAAGAGGAGAACGAAAAAAAAGAAAGAAAAAAAAAAAACAACACAGGGAATCTATGCATCAGAATCGAGGTGCACCCGGGGAATAATTT